CCTTCTTTTCTATTTTTAATTCTTCACAGTTTGTCCTCAATATCTTATCCAGAATGATCTTTATAACTATAACAATATTAACTTGAATCACATGGCTCTTTCACTCAAAACTTCTATTGGCATAGACTGCTGGGAAAAATAATTCACCTTCAAACAGACTCTGTTAGAGATTGTACCAAGTCTTGTAGGCAAGTATGAAGTCTGCAGAAGCAATAACTAAGAAAAATACAATTCGTATCAGGATTATATATTTATATTAAATATTACCATAAAGGAAAATTATGGACCACAGGAGTTTACAGTGTATATTGCACAGTGAAGCATGTTATTATAGGAAGAATATATTATAATCTATAATATGTGACACAAATATTATTTTACTTATTCAATCCAACATTTTTAGTAGTTTGAAAGAAAAAAAATTCCATAAATGAAGACACAAATAGAGTCTCTTTATTATTTATCTCCACTTTCTCATTATTTATCTCCACTTTCTCATTATATGAAAGATAGGAGCACTCACCAAAGACAAATAACTGTCCCAAGGTTTCAGTGAACATCAAAAATAGGACCAAAATGACTTCTCCTGGTACAGAGGACAGTCCTCATTCTCCTCCTCCTCCTCCTCCTCCTCCTCCTCCTCCTCCTCCTCCNCTCTCTCTCTGTCTCTCTCTGTCTCTCTCTCTGTCTCTCTGTCTCTCTCTGTCTCCTCTCTGTCTCTGTCTCTGTCTCTGTCTCTGTCTCTCTCTCTCTCTCTCTCTCTCTCTCTTCATAGACCCATATGAATAGAGGCATTTGGCCCTGGTCTTTCCAATGACCCCCAGAGCCCTAGTCCGTACAGATAGCCTTAGGCACTGGATAGAACATAAATGTCATGAAGCAGAAATCCATTAAAACAAAACTTCTAAGAACTATAATTCCAAGATGTTTTCAATTCAAGTAAAAAAAAAGTCTGTAGCATAACATAATGCATTCTTCATAGGAAGCATTTAGTATGCTAGCTCCTCTGATAATTATTATAGCAGACCTCTGGGATGAGGTCTATTATTTCCCCAATTTTCCATTGAGAAGATTGACTTGGGGAGGTTAAATCATTTGTCTAAGGTCACAGATAGCCAGTAGAAAACCCAGGAACCAAATTGACATTTTGTGATGCTAAAATTATGCTTCTAACTATCATGAAGTGCAAACCGAAGCTAATTTGTTCCAAAATTATTATGACTTTGAGTCACAGAAAACTACCCAGAGAAACTAAAGAAATAAAAATTCCTACAGGAATTTTCAAGATTAGGACACAGTCTACATTAATAAACAAAACTGCTAAATATTGCTACACAAGTTTTATTTATGCTTCTATATTTTTCCAGAAAATGCAACATGAAACACAAATACAGGAGTGTTCACATATAGAAAGATAGACACAACTTCCTGTATTCTTGCATATATCACTAAAAATCACTACACAGACTTCACAAAATAACTGGAGATTCTGACAGGTGGAAAGGATAGTGGAGTAAAGAAAACTGTATCTTGATTGGGTCCAGGAGGTAAGTTCCCTTTTGCTATGAACACATTGGACTTTAAACTGGAGGGGCCAGAAATACTCAAATGCCAATGAGGACAGACAGTTAAGAAAAAAAAAACTCACATTTTCCAAAAGACCCAAAAAAGAGCAGCCAAGTTTTAGATATAAACCATTCAGAAAGTATTTATTTCATGCAACTAAAATGAACAAAAGGAAGGCAATGTTCTGCTCCCACAGTCATACCATCAAGGGCCTAGTTAGTGCACATGTTTTTACTCTGTTAGGATATGATGGGCCCACACACTCTGCATCTCAAGAGTCAGATCCCTGGAGATGACATGGGAGCCTGGGCTTGACATTGGAGTTCTTTTTCACTTTCCTATTTGGATGGTGCTACAGGAAGACTGGTAGAGGGTCATTTCATCACCCCAATTAAGGGGTCCTTCTGTTCTGCTAGGACAAAGGAGGTACTTGTGGGTTCAGGAAGTCTCATCTAGGACAGGAATGAGGAAGAACTGCTCCACACAGTCAGTGGAGCTGCCAAGTCAGAGTCTGAGTATCTTCATTTACATAGAAGGAATAATAGAATTATAGAATGGACCTAACCCCATAAACTGCCAGAATAAAATAATATAAAGCCACGTTTTAAAATTAGGCATCAAGGCACACACCTTTAATACCAGCACTTAGGAACTTAGGAGGCAGAGGCAGGCAGATCTCTGAATATGAGGCCAGCCTGCCCCTCGTAGTGAGTTCAAAGACATCCATGGCTACACAAAGTAACCCTGTCTGCAGAGGTGAAGGAAGCAAAGGGGAATAATATCATCATAAAAACATTAAAACTCCAGGTTTTAACTATAATAACTGGTGATTTGAATAGGTGTGGCACCTATAGATTGTTGTGTTTGAATGCCTGACCCACAGGGAGGGACATTATTAGGAGGTGTGGTCTCATAGGAGGAAGTGTGTCACTCTGGTAGTGGATTTTGAGGATGTGAAGTAAAGGGAACACTCCTCCACTGCTGGTGGGAGCACAAACTCGTACAGCTGCTTTGGATTTCAGTATGGTGATTTCTTAGAAAATTAGGAAACAATCTACCTCTAGACCCAGCAATATAACTTTTGAGTATATACCCAAAGGATGCTCAATCATATCACAAGGACATGTGCTCAGCTATGTTCATAGCAGCATTATTTGTCATAGCCACACCTGGAAACGACCTAAATGCCCCTCAACCAAAGAATGAATAAAGATGTGGTACATTCACACAATGGAGTACTACACAGTGGAAAAAAATAGTGACAACTTGAAATTTGCAGGCAAATGGATGGATCCAGAAAAATCATATTAAATGAGGTAACCCAGATTCAGAAAGAAAATATAATATGTATTCTCTCATAAGTGACTTTTAGACATAAAGAAAAAAAAAACAGCCTACAGTTCATAATCCCAGAGAACCTAGCCAACAAAGAAGACCACAAAAAGAGACATACATGGATCTAAACTACATGTAAAGTAGAAAAGGACAAGATCTCCTGACTAAGTTAGGAACATAAGGATTATGAGAGAGGGTAGGAGGGGAGAAGGAGAAAGAGAAGGGAGTGGAAAAAAGTAGGTCAATAAAAACAATAAAAATTAATCTCAGCAAATATATAGATGATATAAAGTAACCTAATAAAAATTGGATTTAAGACCACAATGCCCAGGAAAAAAAGTGAGGAAATGAAGAGGACAGACTAAGAATCAGTGAGAGCCAGGCAGTGCCGTGCACACCTTTAGTCCCAGCAGTCCCCTTAGAACCACCCATTCCAACATCCAATCCCTTCTCACCTAAATCCGAGATTCACCTGAATTCATCTTCCTTCACTGTCATTTCCACCTGTGCCGCCCGGCTAGTCTTGGGAGTAAAGACTGTCCTGGCATGTATCCAAGCTGTCAGGGATCCCGTGATTAAAGGAACCTGCCTCTCCAGGCAGCTCTGGCCTCTCCTAGCTCCTCAGCAGTGGTGGAGCGTTGTGTCCTCCTCCATTCTTTGTACCAGTCCTGCCCTCCTGCTGTCTCGTTCATGCTGTCCCAGGGCTGGCAGCTCACCTGTGCGATATCCTGTTTCTGGAAAACTCTGCTTCCTTAATGTTATCCACCACCTCTAGCTCTTGAAGTCTTGCTGCCTTCTCTTTCACCATGATCCCTCAGCCTTCTTTAGTGAAGTCTGATGTGCATGACCTATTTAGAGTTAAGCACCTCATAGTCTCTTATTTCTTGCACATTGACCAGTTCAATGCCTCTCTGTTAATTCCCATCTACTGCAAGGTGAAGCATCTCCAATGAGGTTTTTGAAATGCTCTGCTCTATGGGCATAGCAATAAGCCATCAAAAGTGTAACCTCCACACTCTTCCTGTATCAGTAGTGTGCATGCACACATAAACACATGTAAATAAGTGTAATAAAAACAAATACATTAAGAACGAATACACATGTAACTTTATACACAGCTTTGTAACATCTTTTCACAGTGAAATAATGGAAATCATTTAGATTTCATTTAAAGAGCAAAAACAAAACAATGTGTTCTCTCTAGAACTTATGTTCTTGAAGAGTATATATAATATTTGGTGAAGATGGTTAAAAAACACTCACAACAGACAAGTATATGATGTTTCTGTGCTCTTATGAATGCCCATTCGTTAGATATAAGCAGTGCAAGCCACAATTTATTCCTCCGATGTTCTAATCAATTGATTCTTCCCCAGAAAGTGAAAAATGGTTAGAATCAGCAGCATAGAGTTTAACTATGGATAATTCATTATTCTCAAATCTGTTCAAAGAATGCAATGTAAGTGATTCTCAGTCTTCAGGCCTAGAGTGTCATTTAATCACCTAGTTCTTTTTATTTGAGGTACATTTCAAAAGTAATTTGTTTCTATTGTGAGAAGCACTGACAAAGGGTGTCTTTTCTATTGCAGCTCTGAATATTCATTATTGAAGATATCCAAGGCCTATAAAAGTTTGTTTGGACCCTTCATGTGTCAGAGCCAGGTTGGGCCCAAGTGTGCTCACTTCTTCATGTCCTAGGACAGAGAACTGCCGTGGACCTGAGCGACACCATGTACTACCCAGTGACATCACCTAAAGGAAAATGGTAGAACTGATTTCATAATTTCTTATTGTAAGAGCTGAGGATTATATGAGTACTTGCTCACTTTTATGGCCAGCCTCCCTTTCACACCTGCTGATGCTTAGCCAGAAGAGGAAAGGAAAGAATGCCTTGTTGCTGTTCTGTTGATTTAAAAAAAAAAACTTATTTCTTTTGAGGTTATAATATAATTATATTATTTCCCCAGTTCCGTTCTTCCCTTCAAACCCTCCTTACACTCTTTCAAATCCATGACCTATTTCATTAATTGTTTCTTTGTTTCTCTCTCTCTCTCTCTCTCTCTCTCTCTCTCTCTCTCTCTCTCTCACACACACACACACACACACACACACACACACACACACCCATAAGTACACAAATACAACCTGCTCAGTTTATATACTGTTACTTGTATGTATATTTTCAGGGCTGACCATTTGTTAGGATAACCAATTGGTATTCTCTTCCTTGGGAAAGACTGTTTCTCAGGTCTCAACATTCCTTAGTTGCCTGTAGTTCTTTGTGCAGGCTGAGGTTCCTGGACTCTGCAAACACCACATCCACATGAGCGTGTCCGGTGTGTTGTCCTTGTTCAGCTCATGTTTAGACAGCCATGTTGGTGAGACTTTATGGGTGTAGCTTCTGAAAGTTTAGAGGTGAAAATTCCCTGTTATTTTGGTTCTTACAAACTTCTCACTCCTTCCTTTTCTACAATGACTCCTAAGTCAGCCTTCGGTGAAAGAGTTCTCTTGCTGTTACTGGTCTCAGCAGCTCTTCAGTTTGATTGGTTGCGGCTTTTTGTAATGGTCTCCTATTTAACTGTAAAGAAAAATAAAATCTCTAGGTAAATGGAGGAAACTAGAGAGGATTATATTGAGTGAGTAACCCAGACCCAGAAAGACAAACATCACACTCTTCCCTCTCATCTGAGACTCCTAGCTCCAGATCTTCAGATGTGAGGATATAGCCTGGAGTAACTGTAGGAGCTAGGAAAGAAGAATAGGGGCCACTGCTAGGGTGAGGATGTGGGAAAACAATAAAGAGGTAAATACCACAATGCAAGAGATCTGAAGAGGGAAATGAGAAAAATTGGAGGGACTCTAATATGGAGGGGGTCGCAAATAAATACAGAAGAAGGAGGAAGAGGGGGTAAAATAACAGTAAGGATGCCTGAAAAAAGTAAAAAGGAATTAAGCAAGTGACTATAGCCTAAAATACCTATAATACATATAAGTCTGCATATAAACACACATATATAGTTTAAGTATTTTTTTTCCTGAGCTGAAAATGCTTTCCCCAGAAACCCACATCTTCTAATATATATACTGGTCACGAGAAGCCCTCTCCAAGAGTCTCCCAATACATCATACACTATTGCTATTGCCATGCACTTTAGACTCAGAATTCAGAGGCCTGTGATATGGAACTTATTGGAAAACTTTCTCTCTGAAGACTAGCTCTCAGTACCAGAAGGTGCCATGCAAGCTTCCAAAGCATGGAAGTTAGCAACTGTCCTACATAGTACATAGTCCCTATGAACCACAATGACTACTATGAAAGATAGCCCTAAGAGTGAAGTAATGCCATGAACACCTTGGTGGTCACTGGCAACTCTCTAACTGAACTTAATACCTGCTCAACAAGAGGGACATCATGTCAGGTACTGAAAACCTAACTAACTACTAGGAACTAGTAAGTCACACACCTTGGAGAAGAACCTTCAATTCCCACATAACTAAACCAGCATAATCCCCAGCTACATTCTAAATGTTTATTCTTATACACACGGGTAAGTGTAGTCCTCATCCTACATGAAGTAAATGTCTCTTTGAAACAGAAAAAAAAAAAAAAACACTTCCAAGTGATCACACAGTAGATGTCTGTGAATCCATTTATTTTCAATAAATGTTTGCAAAGACCTGAAAAGACATACGGATTAAAGGCATACAAAACATTTAATTCAGATTTTGTATTATAATGTTGAATAATTTCATGGGGTTCAATGTAAAGGCTCATTCATGTCTGTTTTGGGTGCTATAAATAGTTAAAAAATAATGGTTGTGAAGGAAGATGCAGTTTCTGCACTGCATGTCCTTACAGTAAGGGTGGACTACAGACAAATGGAAACTTCGCTGGGCATGGGGGAGGGGTGTAGCTAGGAGGAAAGGAAATACGAGACTTTCTAGAAGTAAACACTCCTGCATGAAGTCATGCAAATTTTACATGAATGTTTCTTTCAGTTTGTCTTATATATTGTCCCATTTGCATTAATTATAGACACCAATGTTTGCTGTAATGACAGGGCAAGTACAAGCCTTCTCTAGAAATTACTATTAGCCATAGTTGTGGTGGCCATAGGGCTAGATGACTGCTGGAGGAAATTGTTTCCCGCCTAGCATAATACCAAGGGCTCATTAGATGATGTCGTACTTTGATCTATTTTATTTAATCCTTAAATTAATTTTATTGAGTTATAATTATTATTTCCATCTAGAAATGAGAAACTAAGTTTTAGATTAAGTCATTTTCTAACTAAATTAGGCTCCAACTCTAGCTAGTTTTCTGAAGCTACAGCAAGTACTTACCCAGCTGCCTATCAGGAAAGTCTTCAACTGAAGTCAATGAAAATGAAGTAAAACTGTATACATTAACTTCTGGTGTTTGCTTTGCTTTCGAAATGCACTGTTGTTAGAAAAACGTGGACATATTGTGAGAGACTTTGGCTCTAGTCTTTTACTTCTCTGTAGCATTGCATCATGAACCACATGGATATCTGTCTGTTCTACAATGGGTGGACACTTGTTTAGCTTCCGGCCACCATCCCCCTACCAATATTATCATGAGCATCCTACACACTTTTGAAGTACATTGCTCACAGATAGGGCTGTTTCTTTACGGTTTATCAACAGAAGGGGAGATACAAGCTCTAGCTTTATGGAAAAATTGCTTTCCAAATTGCTCGTATTATTTATCACCTCACAGTGTTCCCGTTAGCACACATTCTCTTCAATATTAGGACTGTGGAATTTCCCAGATTTTGTCTATGTCTAATTATGAATGGCTAATTATTATGATTTTGCTTTTGTAATTTCTTCATTGTTAGTGGTATTAAACATTTTTCCTGCCTGCTGATCACACATTATTTCCCCTTATTGATGTATTTATTGTTATCATCTCCATCATTTTTTTCTGTGTGATTGTTTGTCTTTGACCTCATAAATTACAGCTATTACTGTTAAATTTAAGGACTCTAACTAATCTAGTCTCAGAAGGACAAGCACTGTCTTCTAAATTGTTAAATTCTCCTTTTCACATCCAAGTGCATAATCCACCTATGGCTGCACAGTTTGTACAAAAGTTTCTATCACCTTTTCTGTCTGGTTATTGAACTCATCAGCATCTCCTATTAATTCCTGCAGGCTTCAAATATCTACAATGCTTCCTCTAACCTTAACTACCCAGGGTTCTGCATTTTTTATGGCCTATCTACAGCCTTTCCAATATTTTCTATTGATCACCTTGCTTTATTTCTATTGCTTAAACTACAGTAATCATTTGCTAGTCACGAAATTCCCTTGTTTTTCATCCTGATTTTTTCCCCCAGGGAGGATTCTAAACATTAAAACATAATGATTAGTTGACCGATAGCAAAATGTTTTCAAGAACAGGCAATACTGCTAAGTAGATAAAAGTGCTTGTTGTAAAAACCAGATGGTCTGAGTTTGATCCCTGAATACCATGGTAGAAGAGAACTGACTTGAAAAAGTTGTCTTCTCATCCCCAAATATGTAACATGCATAGGCCTGAGTGTGTGTGTGTGTGTGTGTGTGTGTGTGTATGTGGTGCATGCCCACGAGCACACACACAAACACATAATAATTTAAAAACATAAAAAAAAACTCATTCAGGATAATCAAATTATCAATAAATTAAATTTTTCCGGAATACTCGCATATTGTCACTTACTCTCTAGCTAAAGTATGGATGGTCCTTCTGTACTCACGAACTTTTTGTAAGAATGCTACTGACTGCTACAAAGACTGCCCTGAATTCCCTGCCCTGAGGTCATCAGGCAGCTAAGGTTTTAGACTGTGTCACTTTCTTGGTATTGAGGTCACAGACTGCCCTGAATCTCAGCACAGGTGGCCCATCTGTGGGAAGTTCCCCAGTCTGTAAAGCAGGAAGGTGTGGCGTGGGTCTGTGGCAATTCACTAGCAAATGCAAAGCTCCCGTGCTGTGTCTACCAGAGAACTGGCATACATCAAAGACTTCAGGAGGCAGCAAACACAAAACTGCTGAATTAACAAAGTGTTCCGCTCTAGACCTGCCCAAAGGAGGCGGGGGAAGCGGGGGAGCACTGCATAGGAGAAACATGTAGCTCTACCTAGGCTCTGCCAAGTGGTCTCCAGTGCTTTGCCCAGATAGTTTGCTTCCCATGAGTTCTGTCAGCTGTCAACAATTCACTAGTTTATAGAAATGCCTTCCCTTTCTATCTCCTACAGTGGATC